CCCGCGGCTCCTGGCAGCTGCCCCCGACTCCTGGGGGGTACTGCTAATGGAGGGGGCAGTTGAGCATCCCTGGGGTACCTCAGGTTGTGCCTGGACCAGGCTGTCCCGCCTGCTCCCTCAAAGCCACCCAGGTGCTGCAGTGGTGGGTGCTGGGAGGGCATCGCTGCCTGGGTGTGATGGTGAGCTGTTGGAGGAAGGCCATGACTCCAGCTCTCTCTGGTCTCCAGACCATGGAGCCCACAGCTGCGTCCGAGCTGGCTCTGTTGCCTTTGTCCCACATCTCCATGAGAGACGGAAAAACTGCATCATTTGTGGCAGAGCCAGTGCCAGCTGGACCCTGCTAAATGGCTTCCCATCTCCTAGGTGCATCTCGACAGGGAAGATTTTCCCCCGCTAAGAATGATGCTTTGGGATCTGACCTGGGGCCGAGGTTTCAGATCCATCCTCCTTGCCCAGCACGGTCCTTTAAGAACACAGCAGTCTGGGGGCCGGCAATGGTGTCAGGGTGGTGTCCTCCATTCCCTCTTCCCTGCAGGATGCAATACTGCTCCTTACAGCTCCCACAGCAACCTCTTCTGTGGTCTCTGGAGGGATCTGGTGACTGAAACATCACCACTGAGGTCTTAGGTGGCTGGGGTAGCCGGAGAGCCTTCCTTCAAAGGGCTCGGGGCTGGCTGCTGCACGCCACGCTCAGCTGCGGTTCCTGGAAGCTCCCACCCTTGCCGAGCCCACGAGGCCGGTGGTTGTCGCCTGCAGCCACGTTGCTCGCTGCTTTGCTGCAATCCTCCTGGCTCTGGTGTGGCTGGGGTAGAGCAAGGAATGTAAACTGAATCTCCAAGCAGAACCGCGCTGGCATGGCTGCTGCGGTCCCGGTGCTGCCCTGGCCCCTTTCTCCCCGTTGCTCACAGCTCCCCATCAATGTGGGGCAAGGGAAGGTGGTGAGAAGACAAGCAGGAGCAGCGGGGCCAGGTCAGCAGGGAAATGACCACGATGAGGTGGGGACAAAACTCCCAAAGTGCTGGGATGTCAAGTCCTGGGATCCAGCCTCGTCCATCAGTTCACATGTGGCTGGAGAGCAGTGGAGGAAGGAGAGGGGCTGGGGCTTGACCCCAAGGGTTTACCAGCTGTGGAGGGCACCAAATGAACCCGGCCTCTTTACCTGTAAGGACACAGGCTTGCTAGATGGACTGGGTGGGGTAGAGCTTCTGTCTGGGCTCCAGAAGGGATTTTTGAGGAGATGCTGCATTGGAAATTATTCGTTGGGCTGGGGATTTGTGTGAGAAAGAGGCTAACGGAAAGGCAAGGCCAAAAGGAGAATGTCTACTGGGTGGAGGGTTTGCTGCTGCTGTCCCTGGGCACCGTCTGTGTGAGGAGCTGAGGACACCGAGTGGGGTGGTAATGACAAGTCCCTGCTCTTGGGCTGTGCCCGGGTTTGGCTCATGAAGGGCTGGAGCTGGCCCAGATTGTGGGGACGGGGAACTGATATGGGGAGGATCTGGGGATCCTGGAGACCTTCCCGTGCTGTTCTCCATGCTGCATCACTCACCGGGGGGCTGCAGTTGCCCAGATTTGGGCTGTCCTGCTGTAACAGCGTTGTGGGTGTGTTGCAGGCGCTGCCTGCCAGCACTTTCCCTGGGGAGGCTGTGCAGTGTATGCACCAGCAGCCCCATTACCTGCCCGCTGAAAAATGTTGTTCAACTTGTGCATGGAAAGAGGCAGGCTGAGAGCAAGCTTGTCCCACACCAAGGGGAAGCTGGGAGAGGCTCCCACTGGCTTTTAAGCAGCGCCTCGTTAATTTTTTAAATGCACCAGTGTCAAATTAACACACAAAAGAGCAGCGTGACTTTAAATGCAGGTTTCCGAGCTGCGTTTCATTTCCCTTTAATAAGATCATAGCGTTTGCTCGGCGGGCGGTAGCGAACCACCGAGGAGACATGCGTGATGCGGAGCATCGCCCAGGACGGGTGACAGCGGCGGGGGGCGGTTGTGTTCTCACCTTGCGTGACTCCGCGGCACAGGCAGGGAGCTGGCAGAGCCCCTGCCCGGGATCTGTGCTTTGAGGTGCTCGCCCAAGCCCCCTGTTTGATGGCATGGATCTGCTGGAGAAAATACCTCAAAACCTCTCATCTGTTCAGCTGTAGCAAAGCTGCTCTTGTCCAACGGAGGGAGAGAGGCTGGCGAACTCCAGCTATTTATTTATTCACATGTGAAGCCACGGCACAAAATCTGGCTCTCCCTCCTTCCCCTCCTCGTGCTGGGGCCGGTCACTTCATACTGAAGCAAAGGGCACTCCAGGCTCCCTGCTTGGCCTGGGAACCACAAATAAAAGTATTACTTTGCATTTAAAATAAAATAGAAGTTCCCAGGTAGGGGAGGCTCTTCACCCAGCTGCAGCGAAGCCAAGCAGTCCTTGGACAGACCCCGCTTGCAGCCCCGTGAAGCCCCCTCGGTGGGACCCGTCCCTGTCCCCATCCACCTCATCCCCAGCTAATGACACTTGTGGAAGTCTTCATTCCCCGGTGTTTAACGACAACCAGCTGCCGGCCCTGGCAGCGCACGGTGCGGTCGCGGCGTGCTCTGAAAAACTAGAGATGCTCGATTTTTTCAGTGCGGTATTGCATTTAGAGCTTCTTGTGAACTGGTGGGGCTCAGGGAGGGAAGGGGCATGGGCAAACAGATGGGACTGGGCAGGCAGCGCTGCCTGCTCCTGTTGTTGTCTGATCCTGCACCCTGTGGTTAAGCAGAAATGGCCCATTCCTCAGCAGAAGTATTCCTCAGCCAGCATTATATTTAATATTGTGGGAAACTCTGAGTGGAGGTGGGAAGAGATACTGCCTTTCCCATCAGAGCCATAATGCTGATGCCTGAGCAATGCCATGGTGGTATCTCCCAGGGCAATGTGAGAGCAGGGTGATGGTGGGAGCTGGGGTCCCAGCCAGCGATGTGTCCTGATGGAGATGGGGCTGGAGAGCACCGAGCGAGGATTCACTCGTGGTTGAGATGGGAGCTGGTGCATCAGGACAAGGCAAGGCACAAGCCCAGCCTCCAGCTCCCTACACCGCTGCATGATGCTGGGCTCATCCAGCCCCCCGCAGGGGTCACGCCACCCGGCCTGAACCCCGCTCTCTCCTTCCTCGCAGGCTTTCGGGAGAGCGCCTTCGCTTACGCCATCGCGGCCGCCGGCGTGGTGCATGCCGTCTCCAACGCCTGCGCCCTCGGCAAGCTGCAGGCCTGCGGCTGCGACCAGAAGCGCCGGGGCGATGAGGAGGCTTTTCGGCGCAAGCTACACCGTCTCCAGCTGGAGGCCATGAACCGCGGCAAAGGCATGGTGCACGGGGTGCACATGGAGCACATGCCGGCCGAGACCCCCGGCCTCCAGGACTCCTGGGAATGGGGAGGGTGCAGCCCTGACGTGGACTATGGGGAGAAGTTTTCCAAGGATTTCCTCGATTCCCGGGAAACCTACAGGGATATCCACTCCCGCATGAGGCTGCACAACAACCGCGTGGGCCGGCAGGTGAGCACCGGCAGGTGAGCGGGGTGCTGGGCAGGGGGTGCGGGGCGGTGGTGGCGGGGACAGGGTCGCCAGGACACATGCAGGAGGGCTGTGAGGGGCTTGTGCTGGCTGTGGTGGGACACGTGTGTGAGGCTGGGATTGCCCCCAAGGCACCTCGTCTCCCCAGTTTTGCCCGGAGCAAAGGCAGTGGCGCAGCCCTGCTGCCAAGCATCTCTGCTGGGGAGGGCACCTCTGAGCATTGCGGCTGCCAAGGGACACTTCCCCAGGCCACTGTCACTTGCCTGTGCTGCAGCGGTGCTACAGGAGTGGCACGGCAGTGAGTCCAGCTCCTGCCTGGAAGGACTGGGTGAACTGGTGTCAGGCAGCTGCGGTGGGAGGGAGCTACGGACAGGGAGGAGAAAGTCGCTGGCATCATGGGGACACAGCACAGGCTCCACAGCATCCAGCTGCAGCTCTGCCTCCGGAGAGGGAGACCATGCCCCGAGGAGGCAGATATGAGCTGGACTGAGCCAGGCAGCAGGCGCCTATGCCAGCTGGGCAGTGCAGCATCCCCCCGGGAGCAGAGGTGACAGCCCACAGCCTCATCCCCTGGCTCCGAGGGGGTGCTGGAGCCTGCCCAGGCGAGCAGGGCAGCCTCCCCTCCATTCTCATGATGTCAGGTCTTGTTAAAGGTGCTAATTAGTAACTCGCTCTGTCTGGAAGCTGATGTTCAAAAGCAGACTGACACTGGAGACAAGAAGGACGCAGGCAGGAGGGGCTGGGAGGATGGCTGCATTTCCCTGCCTGGCTTTGCTCCCAGCAGGTGCCAGGGAGACCCCATCCCATGGCTCCAGTGGGACATTTGTCCCCAAGACCCCAGCCCCATGCTGCCAGGGCAGCACAGGGAGGTGTGTAGTGACTGCGGGAATAAGTAACTAAAGATCAGAATTCCACAGGGAGTGTTTCCCCAGGATGTCTCAGACGTTTGGATGTGCCTCCTGCTTTGAGCATGTTTAAAGGCAGATGTGAGATGGGGACGCTGCAGAGCAGGACCTTGTGTGTTCTTCCCTGGTGCTGGAGCTGAGCTTTACCGCCCTGAAAAGCTGTTCCAGTTTGGCCAAGCTGTACATGCCTGGGGAAAGGCAGAGCTTTTTGCTTGTTTGACTTTGTTTGCTTGTGTGAGGGGAAGGCTCACTCAGCGTTAGGCACCTCAGTCTTCTGCAGGCTGCTCTGCCCCAGGCCAGGCAAGACCCCCCCTCCCAACTCTGACTGCAGGGCTCATCCTAGGTCCCATCCAGCTCTGTGTGCCCCAAACTACTGGGACTTTTGGCAATGCTCAGAAATTTGGGGTCTCCATTGCCTGTTTCCCAAGGGAAGCCCCACAGCCCCCTGCACAAGGAGGAGAAGGTGAGAGAGGAATATTTGCGCAGGGGGAATGTCACCACACGGTGCCTGTGGTAAAAATGACAAGCAGACCCCAAGGGCAGGCAGGCATGGGACTGGCAATGTCAGCTCTTGGTGGCTTCAGAGACAAGAGCTGGACTGATGGAAGAGGCCTGGGAGCTGGAAGCAGAGGCAGACCAAAAGGGTAAAGGAAGGGATGGTACCAGTGCAGGTGGGGAAGCAGTGGCTGGACAGGCTGCCCAGCTCAGGGACCCTGTTGAGATGAGGGTGTGAGCCCATGTGCGGGTCGGGTTATGATGGTTGTGGATGCCATGTGTTGGAGCAAGGAGATGATGCTGTTGTGCCTGGTCTGTGCCTGTTGGTGCTTATTGCTGGGGCTGGACCTCACCATCTACATTGCCTGGGGATTGGTTCTACAGCTCCCTGCCTGCTCTTTTAGCCGTGCCATGGGTCCCACACCCACCCAAGCCCACCTCACTTGTAGGACCATCTCTCTGCTGTAAGAAGGAGCAATCTGCTGGGATTTCCCAGGAGACGAGTGGCTGTGCTGGATGCAGCAGTACCGTGGTCCTCCCCTCCAAGTCCCTACTCTTGAATGCCTTGAGTAAAGCGGTGATGTGGACACGTACGCCACATGCCATGCCCTGCTACATGCCATCCCTCTCTGTGCACCGAGCAGCTGCAGCACCCAGGGCTCTCTAGCATCTCACTGATGCTGAGCATCCTCTCTGTGGTTCCTGTGTGTGTCCCAAGGGTGCTCTGCACGTGGGTAAGCCTGGCTCCTGGCTCAGACCCTGCAGTGCCAGGGGGAGGTGACAGTCCCACCGATGGCTGCATCCAGTGGCCATGGGATGTGGGTTTCTGTAGTGTAGTGGTTATCACGTTCGCCTGACACGCGGAAGGTCCCTGGTTCGAAACCAGGCAGAAACACCCTGATCTTTTCCACTTTTGCATGCAGCTATGAAGCTGGGGAGGAGATTGCAGCTGCAGGGGATGGGATGCACAGCGTCCTCCGACAATGACAGTGGTCGCCTTGGTCTTGAGTTGGAATAGGAGGCCTCCCCAAATAGGGGCTTTCTATTACAACTCAAGACTGAGGTGGGTGTCCTGCGTCCCTGGGAGGGAGCAAGTTCCCCAGCAAGGAGCAGCAGGAGCATGCAAGAGGCTTTGCAGGTCCTCCTAACCAGCCAGATCACAGAGCAAGAGAGGATGAAAGGCAGCCAGGAACTACCCATTACGCTCACAACAAAGCCCTACGATAAAGCTCTTATGAGCGTGTCTGGGAGGAGCTGGGAATGTGCGAAAGAAAGCACCAGCGAGTCCAGGCATGTGCCAAACCTGGGTGTCTGTGAGACGGGGGAAGGACATGGCTGGGTAGGGATGCGTGGAAGAGATCTGATGGCAAAAGCATGGGGCCGAGGCTCAGATGGGTCCTGCTGGGATCTCCTGGCTCTGGCAAGGTCCTGTCCTCCCTGTGCTACCCATGCGGGAGGGAGAACAAGCCATCCCTGGGCAGGGATGGATGAGTGCTGCAGTGCTGGGGCTTGGGATGCTCAGTGGTGATAGCTCGGGTGATGGATGTGGCACACACATGCTGCCTTCTCCAGCTACTGCTGTGCCAGCTGTAGCCCCAAATGAGCCCCTGTCCAGCTGTCATGCCACTATCCCCTCTGTCCTGGTGGTGACCATCCCAGCCACAGCCCTATATGCCGAATTTCCCTGGTCCAGCCAAGGGAGCAGGGAGGGGATGTGAGAGAGGATGGGGTCCTGGTGCCAGCATGTTCCTGTGGATGGTGGCAAGGATGGTGGCAAGCAGACAGTATTCCCGGCCGGCACACCCAGGGTACGGCGGAGAGGCCAGGCAGCTCATTACCTGCGAGGTGGAGGCTGTTCCCAGCAGGAGACATTTCAGGATGAAAGCCAAGCTCCAGCCCAGCCCAGACCTCTCCGCCGTGTGCCCCGAGCTCCAGGCGTGTTCCCCTGACCTGCCTTCATTACCATAACTGCTTAGCAACTGGGAGATTTACTCAAAAACAAGAAAATAAGTAGTAAAAACTACCTACCCCTACCAAAACAAGGTACTCCTCGCAATCGGGTCCCCCACAGGGAAGGGGCAGGAACAGGCAGCACGTGTCAGGCATAAAGCCAGGCGGCTGGGCAGAGCTGGCATTGTGGGACCAGACCTTGCACAGAGCCACATGTCCCCTGGGCTTCCTCCATCGCCCTGGGTGGGGGGATCAGCCTGTGATAGTCTTCACAAGCCCCAGCCCAGCTTGGGCATCCCCATGGGAAGGGGACTTGCTGGAGCCTGTGCAAGTGCATGGGCATGGGGTCACCAGACCCAGCAGGGAATCCCTGTTGGGACAGAGCAGAGGACAGCATAAAGTGCCTCTTTCCAGGCTGTGTGGGGGTATGTGGTCTCTCTGTGCCCCTGGAGACTGCTGGGCACGAGCTGTTTCCCTTGGCACAGCCACAGCAGCATCCCTTGCAGGGGTGGGGGAGCATATGGGGACCCCAGCACACAGCCTGGGAGTTCAGCAGCATTGCCCAGGGAGCCCAAGGCACTGGGCTCTGGCCTCCGCACAAGCTGCCCTCACTGGGCAGCCCAAACCACAGCCACAGCCCAGCCCGCAAACCCTGGCCCCCGTGGGGGGGGTGGATGTGTGGCAGTGGCGTCACTGCAGCCTCCCCAAACCACATTCAGGGCTGTGAGCATCTCCAGTCACTGCTTGAAATTTGGGTGATGGTGGGATGCAGTGCCTCAGCCCCTGGCGCTGCGCCCAGGGCTCTCGTGAGAAGGCAGGCAAGAGCTGAAAGCAGAGCTGGTCCTGGGACTCCTGGAGCTGGTGCTTTATGGGAGGAAAGCCCTGGGGAGGGGAAAGCATCCTTCCCACCTGCCCCGCTTGCAGTGATCCTGGCTGGTGAGGTGGGGGGGGGACCCCTGCACTGGGGGGGTCCCAGTAGGGCTGCAAAGATGCAGCCACGTCAGGTTTTAACTGGGGTCCACGGTCAGGTCGATGCTGCTGAAGCCAAGCAGCACTGGAAAGTGAGATCCAGGCTCCTTCTCCTCCCTGTGGTCAGGTAGCTCACCCTCTCTTTTAGGTGACGATCCCTTGCTGGAGTGTAAAAGCCAGTTGGTACTGCCAGGATGGGAAGGGACAGGGTGTTGGACTTGGGTGACATTGGGCACAGCAGCAGGCTTTGCAGCTCCAGGGCTCTGATGGCTGCTCTGCCGGCTCTTGGTGTTCCTATAGTGCCAACCCACAGAGAGCTCCATGATGTCTTCTCCGGTCCCCAAAAAACTCCATGCTAACCCCTCTGTCCTTCCCTCCCTGACCAGGTGGTGATGGACAACATGAGGAGGAAGTGCAAATGCCACGGCACCTCGGGGAGCTGCCAGCTGAAGACGTGCTGGCAGGTGACACCTGAGTTTCGCCTGGTAGGGTCCCTGCTTAAGGACCGCTTCTACGGGGCCACCCTCATCCGGCCCCACAACCGCAACGCCGGGCAGCTGGAACCGGGCCACGCTCGGCATCGCCGCCGGGCCGGCATCAGCGAGCTGGTTTACTTTGAGAAGTCACCGGACTTCTGCGAGCGGGAACCGGCCCTGGACTCCTTGGGCACCCAAGGGCGCCTGTGCAACAAGACCAGCCCGGGCATGGACAACTGCGAGAGCCTGTGCTGCGGCCGCGGGCACAACATCCTGCGGCAGACGCGCAGCGAGCGCTGCAACTGCAAGTTCCACTGGTGCTGCTTCGTGGCCTGCGAGGAGTGTCGCATCACCGAGTGGGTCAGCGTCTGCAAGTAGCTGGGCAGGG